GTATAATAATAATAATAATAATAATAATAATAATAATAATAATAATAATAATAATAATAATAAGCAACCATCTATTAAAAATAAAATAAGAACTAATAAAAAAAGGGAGGAAAAAAAGTAAGGAAGTAAGACAAAGGGCTGAAGCCCATTAGAAATTTAAAAAGGGTTATCTGCACCCTTCTAAGGAAAAGAAGCAGAAAGCTTCAAACGACAAAACAAAAGATAAGAAAGGTCTTCTGAGTTCGACGCAGCAGAAGCTTCAGAACGAAAAAAAAAAGAGAAGGAAAGAAAGGGAGAAGAAGAAAGAGGCTAGAACCAAATCTTGAGAAATCTTAAATTTGCACTGGTTTACGGGTAATACTCGAATTTTTCATCTGGGTTCTTTTCTTCTGGTAATTCTTTTTATCTCAGTTCATATAATTGAAAGGTTTCACAAGGTATAAGAAATTAAATACCAATAAGAATTATTCTGGGCAAATTAAGAGTCAAACATGAAACCTCGAGGGTTGGATATTCTAAAATAGCCATGATTAGCCTAAATAAGAATATTAACATGAGATCGATATTATGTAATTATAGATTGATTGGAGGAATTTTTACGAGTTGCTTGAGGTGAAGCAGTTGGTATTTCGGCACGAGTACTGTGAGTAGTAATCTTACCGCAATTTGTGTTTTCATAACTTGCATGATTTACACATGATTTTTAATATGAATATGTTATCGATTATTTTGAGTTGCATGTGGGACAAGTCTTTTACTCGATATGATACCGAAATAGTTATTTGAGATGAATACCGTGGTTTTAAATATTTTCGTTGTCACTAGATCTGTTGACAGTTACTTGAATTTACTGTTATCGAAAGGAAATTATATGATTTGATAAGAACCGAAATGCCCTATATTGTTTTAAAATAGTTTCTACGAGTATATATGGATTACAGAGACAAGTATAAATGGGAGTAGACATTGAAGGATCCCGTAGCTAACGGCGGGTTCGTTAAACCTGGTGCACCTTGTAATTACAGATTACCGTTATAGCCCTCGCTAGTGGGAAGGTAGAACTAGCATACCGTTACCGACTTCCCTCGAGTAGGGACTACCGTTATATATTTGACTTCTTGCGAAGAAGTCCACAGTTATACCAATTACATGATCCGTTCATTGAAACTTCCCAAAATTTGAATACTGATATTATACAGTGGTTACCGAGCTTATTACTGAATTGTTAATTACATTATATTACAAGAAAAGCGTGATGAGACTGAAAATTATTTATTGTTTCTGGAAGGGCATTTTTATGTTGTTTTCTGTTTGATATACTAGCATGTTTTCTGACTTGTCCCCAAATAAAAACGGTTGTGGTTAAGTGTTATTACTCACTGAGCTAGCGACTCATTCCCCGCAATTTTTTTTACAGAGACAGCAGTTGACGTAGGCGAAGATTTCGTTAATTAGAGCGCACAGGTTGAGAATTCTTGGTGAGCCTCGCACTTGTTCGCGTGGGCGGAGATTTTTATCAATTGTTATGGTCTTTTCTTTGAATTCTTAGAGTCGCTCCATAGTCATTCTTTTAGTGTTATGCGTATTATTTTGCTATTAGTTTTATGTCGAGTATCGTTCTTTATTATCAAAGTCGGAGATAAATTAGTATTTCTGGTTGTTAGTGTGTTGATTAGTAATGGTGGAGACTTATTTTGGCTAATTGGTAAGTTGTCAATTTCCAGTTAAATTGTTATTAGGTTGTTTGATCGCTGATTTGAGACAGGAAATTTTTTTGGGATTGTCCAAAAACAGGGGAAACTCTGCCCGATTTTCTGTAAAATTACCGATGAGGCTTACTTGGGAGCACTTGCTCCTAAGTGCCGGTCTCGATCCTTAATTGGGTCGTGACACATATTTTGAAAAAAAATATAACAGAAAAGGCCATGGGGTACATATTGAGTTCATTAGCCTTATTCCATTGTATTGTGTTGTTACTAATTATTTTTCTGTTGCAATTCATTTCTTATAGTTTCAGAAATACAAAAAGAAACAATTACTTTACATATTCAGTCTCGAAGGTGTACTTGTCAAATGGGGTGATTCAAAAAATGGACAAACTCCGAAAGAGTGATGGCGCTCCCCCTATAAAAAGGACACATGCACTACACTACACTCATTCTTTGTTGCCAACCCAAAAACAAAGGGGAAATGCTGAACATGCTATTTTATTTTGGGAAATCAAAGAATAATTATGCAAGAAAACTGAGAAGACGGTCTTCTGACTAACAATGAAACCAAAAGAAGTGCGAGAGAGAAAGATCATAAACCAAGAAGAATTGTTAACTCCTATTTCAGCTTAATTCATAACCAATAGCACTGTCGTAAACAAACTAAGATCTTGTTGCTTACTAAGTAACCAAAATAGAACCATAATCAAATATATGTCCCAACGGTAAGACAAAAGATATATTCAGTTGATTTAAACATATTATCAAACACCTTCAGTGCATCAGTATTTAAGCCGGACAACATGCAAAATTTTAATAGGAAAATATCCAAAAAAAAATAAATGGAGAAACTTCCAGATATGCACCAACATCCCATTAGCAATAACAGGGTACATTTAAAGAATAAGTAAGAATAGAGAAAGATTCACCAGAACCGAACAAAAATTAATCACACAACAGAGATAACATAAAACTAAAATTGAGAAATCTAGGAATATGATATGAACAAAAACCTCAATTAGAGAAGGACATGCATGAAATTTATTGTACAAATTGGAAGCAGTAACCCCACTATCTGCATTTTCAAACCTATATAGAGTTATTCCATAAAACACCATCAACAGAAAATTCTCAGACACAAAACAAAGAACTCCAAAATTTAAAGAGTGAAG